AGATTGAAATGTTCTCCGACTGGTTTATGAATGTAATCATTCTTGACATCTGATTTGTGTCCATTTATTCTTTTACGTAGAGACCAGTTTGACCAATGTACATGGCAGAGTGGCATTGCTTGCACATGATGGCATATATCACATTGGTAGATGTGCAGGTGAATGAGCCTCTGATAGTGTGGCTGATGTTATTAGGCCCTGTGATGGTGTCCCCTGAATAGATATGTGGGCACAGTTGGCAACGGGCTTTGTTGCAAGGATAGGTTCCTGGGTTAGTGGTTCTGTTGTGTGGTATGTAGTTGCTGGTGAGTATTTGCTTCAGGTTGGGGGGCTGTCTGTAGGCAAGGACTGGCCTGTCTCCCAAGATTTGTGAGAGTGATGGGTCGTCCTTCAGGATAGGTTGTAGATTCTTGATAATGCATTGGAGAGGTTTTAGTTGGGAGCTGAAGGTGATGGCTAGTGGTGTTCTGTTATTTTCTTTGTTGGGCCTGTCCTGTAGTGGGTGACTTCTGGGTACTCTTCTGGCTCTGTCAATCTGTTTCTTCACTTCAGCAGGTGGGTACAACTACAATACCCACCTGCTGAAGTAAAGAAACAGATTGACAGAGTTTCACATTTCAGCATGAAATCTTCCCAGTGTTGGTCTCTGCCCAAAGGTGGATTTATATGGAAAGTTCAAGCACCAACCCCTCCCCTACACCCCGTAAAAAACAAAACAAAACAACAAAGAACACCCCAGCCTTTTTTAAACAACCAAAGGTGGTGCTGCAGGATGTCCCAGTTAATGGGAAAAAGAAAAGGAGTACTTGTGGCACCTTAGAGACTAACCAATTTATTTGAGCATGAGCTTTCGTGAGCTACAGCTCACTTCATCGGATGCATACCGTGGAAACTGCAGCAGACTTTATATATACACAGAGAATATGAAACAATACCTCCTCCCACCCCACTGTCCTGCTGGTAATAGCTTATCTAAAGTGATCATCAGGTTGGGCCATTTCCAGCACAAATCCAGGTTTTCTCACCCTCCACCCCCCCACACAAATTCACTCTCCTGCTGGTGATAGCCCATCCAAAGTGACAACTCTTTACACAATGTGCATGATAATCAAGTTGGGCCATTTCCTGCACAAATCCAGGTTCTCTCACCCCCTCACCCCCCTCCCAAAAACCACACACACAAACTCACTATTTTTGGGAGGGGGGTGAGGGGGTGAGAGAACCTGGATTTGTGCAGGAAATGGCCCAACTTGATTATCATGCACATTGTGTAAAGAGTTGTCACTTTGGATGGGCTATCACCAGCAGGAGAGTGAATTTGTGTGGGGGGGTGGAGGGTGAGAAAACCTGGATTTGTGCTGGAAATGGCCCAACCTGATGATCACTTTAGATAAGCTATTACCAGCAGGACAGTGGGGTGGGAGGAGGTATTGTTTCATATTCTCTGTGTATATATAAAGTCTGCTGCAGTTTCCACGGTATGCATCCGATGAAGTGAGCTGTAGCTCACGAAAGCTCATGCTCAAATAAATTGGTTAGTCTCTAAGGTGCCACAAGTACTCCTTTTCTTTTTGCGAATACAGACTAACACGGCTGTTACTCTGAAACCAGTTAATGGGAGTAGTTTTCAGAGTTACCACTACCTTAAGAAGAATTAGAGAGCGGACTGGATTAATGCTTCCCCTGGCACCTGTCCTCTTTCCTCATTAGTTTATTAATAGTGATGGCTGTTGGAGCTGGTTACAATGAGTTAGTTATCCCTTGGTGAAGGGGGAGACACATCTTGGGAACAGTTATATATTGAATTCATACTAATGTGCTTGATTCCAAACAATGATCATAGCCAAATTAATCTAGAAACCTTGACGTTATTAGCAGATAGGCTATACTTGAATAACCTGGAGCATTACACTATGAAAAATGGATGCCAACTGTGGTATGTCTGCCAATTTGCTTACCTGTGGTCTAAAACAATATGGAATTAAACGTTAGTTCTTTGCACGGAATATATTAACACAAGTCATGATCACCGTCATGCCAGGTAGCTGTTAATAACTAATAACAGTGGATACTACTACTAATGTTCTTGCAAATGGTTTAATGGAATCTGTTTAATGCTAATAAGGAATATGTCCTCTTTCAAGGTAGTAGCAGTTAGGCAGAAATTGTGGGAGGTAACAATGGTGTGATTAAATCTTTGCCAGTTCCTTTTGTAGGGCGTGCTAAGTGTTTTCTCTTATAACCTCCAGTAACGGTGCTTTTAAGCTCTCAAATATACTCAATCCCATTATCTCCCTCCTTCCCCTCAAAAAAATCTGTTAATTTGATGACTGCCAAATTTATCAGCCTTTTTAACTAAGATGTCTGTCTTGCAGTTCCCTTTTAATGCAAGCTACCTTATGACTCCTTAATGCAGGCGGAACTTAACCCTTGAGTCAGGGGTACAAAAATGTGAAACCGTAAACAAAAGGAGTAAATATTTTAATTAAAGATGGGCCCCAGGACAAAAGCCTGGATCTCAGAACACCTGCACGTTAGTAGGTGGTGAAGTGGGAATTCTAACCAACACCCAAATATCAGTAGCCCCATCTCTGTAATGAACTGGGTTGGAACCCTTCTGAGCATTATGGCTTTCAGAGCCAGCTCTGAACCTTGAAGCCTGGACTTGTCTCTAATTTTAATTTCCTAGTTCCTAGCATATGTATCTGTCAGTTGGTTCGGACTTTCTGCTACAAATTATTAAAAGATACTAAGTGACCAGGCTTTCTCGCACACCTTAAAATATAGGGCCAAATTCAACTTTTGGTATATCAGTGCAACCCCAGTGAATTCACTGAGGTTACACTGGTGCAACTGAACGCAGAATTTGGCCATTAGTCACTTAAATTGTGTATATGTGGTTCATGGTGTCAAGATGTAGCAGTCAGTGGAGGAGCACTGTGACTTCTGGCAGATGCAGATAAAGAAGCAAATTTGGAACAACCCTTCATTCTCTCTGCATCTTGAGACTTGTGGGTGAAGTCTTCCCAATGGAATTCTACAGCTTTTAAGGTGTTATGAGAGTGTAAAGGGATGTAAGGGAAGGCAGGTAAGGGTCGTGGCTAGATATACTTGAATTCTTTTTGTGTGATTGAGGGGGAGGTCCTCCATTTTTAAAATGGCTTAGCTGGCATATGTGTGGTGTAGCTGGGGGAGTAGAAAAGGGGAGAATATCTAGTAAAACAGGAAAAATCCTATCCCATAGTGATAATGCAATTGAAAGCCCTGCAAGCTTCGTAGAGCAATTATTTAGTATTTCATTACTTTTCACTACTCCCAGTTGGGTGAAGGGAACAATGTATTTTTTTCAACTACCAATTAAATTTGGAAAGCGTATGTAGAAATCCTCCAGGCAACTGGCGCCTGTATTTTAACCACTGTGCAGCTTTAGGTTTCCATAAATATTCATCATTTTCCGAAAGGCAATTCAGTTTGAAATCACTTTTTTATATGAAGTCATGCTTGTACTGTTAATGCTTTGTCTGTTTTCCTTCTTTTTTCCCTCTGTATTTAAAATCTATGGAACTGGAGTCTGGTTATATCGCCACTCATTAGGGGGATATTAACAGCTGCAAGAGCTGAAGATTTTTTTGTGTGTGTATGTGCTGCGGCCTTTGAGCTAGGTCCAATATTCATTAAAGTCCGTGAAGAGACTCCCATTGACTTCAGTAGTCACTGGATCAGTCTCTTCGTGACTATAGGAATAAGGTTGTTGACAAAGTTGTGGTGTCTTCCTGGTATGTTTGTTTTCTACTGAATTCTAGTGATCCTGGGCTGGCAGAATGGGCTGTGGTACCCATTTCAGTTTGCACAAGTTATAACAGTCCAAAGCCTGCCTTGAGGATCTGGGAGGGAGAGAAATGTAGTAGAACGCCTAATATGCCTCACACTGAGCCAAGCAGTGCTGAGGGATACCTCAGAATCTAGCCATGGCCACTAACTATCATTGAGGCCAAGAGCTTAGTAGTATTCCAAAAAGGCTTTAAACATTTATATGGTTGACAACTTCTGTTACATTAGAAAGGAAGAAAGATAAAATTTAGAAGGGATACAAACCTTTATGCTTCAGGCCATAGGCCATCCCCTAATGGGACAGGTTATCGTTCACTGTCAGTTTCTTGCACCTTCCTCTGAAACATCTGGATCTGGACACTGTTAGAGGGAATATTGAAATAGGTGGACTTCTGACCACACCTGGTATAGCAAATCCTATATTCCTATGACATCCAAACAAAACTTGGAGGACACTGGCTCTGTTTCTTGGGGAGATCCACAGTGATACTGACAGTAACACTTGTCTGCCCCGTCGTTGGCTTTGGAAAACATCTGGATCATCTAACTGAGACTCAAAGTGGCAGATCCACCACCGTGATTAAGTAGGCCACTTTAGAACAAGCTGTTTTAAGAACAAGATGTGGCTGTTCGAGCTGAACGTTCTTGAGTGTATGTGGATCAATGTCCCAACTAACAAAGCCCAGGAGAGGGTACTAGTGTGGGGTTTGTTACAGATCATCAGATCAAACCAGAGAACACTGAGTTACTCCGCAAGTACTTGTGTGGGAAGAAAAATGGTGGTGTTACGGGGGACTTCAGTTTGAGAGACATCCGTGCTTGGATGCTGTCAGTAGTAAAACATCATTAGAGTTTCTAAAAATTATAGATGATGATTTTCACATAAGGTACTGCATCAAAGACGAGGTGACTCTAATTGAATTAGTCAGTATTTCTGCATTCAGTGCTGTGCATGCTTGATGTATCTGATGCTGAACTAGTCACTTTTATATCCATTGGCTTTTTCCAGAGACATAGTGCCCGGTACATTGACCGGTCAGGATGTTGAATGTGTCTTGTAATAAGAAACAAAGCCTTTCTGAACTCTGAGTCATGACACATTATGTGGAATGGAACCTGTTTACAAGTGAAGGTGGAACACTAATCAATTTATTACCTCTCTCCTGCAGATTCCATTGTGATTGGATTTTGGGTCGGTCTGGCAGTTTTTGTCATTTTCATGTTCTTTGTGCTGACCTTGCTGACGAAGACAGGAGCACCGCACCAAGAGTGAGTCTGATCAGAGTGTGACAGCAATGTGATGTGCTGATCAAATGTTTTTCCCATTACAGTGATGGTCCCTTCTATTGAGTTATTTGTAAAGGGTACACTGTCAAGGCTAAACTGCCCAGAATTTTACCTACTATAAAAAAAGGAGATTTTTTTTTTAAATACTCTTCAGCTGATACTAAAACGTTTGCCTATTCAGAAGCCAGAGCAGCACAATTTCTAACATCAATCATCTTTTGCGGAACAGACGACAAATCCAGGGTGCTTGTTTCTATGCCGTTCCAGGATGTGTTTTGTCAGTGCAGATATTATACCACCCTTCTACTCTGCCTGCCTATTTTGTTCTTGTGACCAGGTTGATGGCACCAAAATATTTGAGAAGCTTTGTTTTCAGAACTCATTTGAGAGAGCACTTCTGTATAGTATGTTTTAATACCCCACCTGCTTAGCAAAATCAGAATGCAGTAGAGAGGAAGGACAGCATAATGGGCATACGCGCACACATTCAGCCTAAAAGAAAGATGGTAGGCTCCAGTTTAGGCCTCCGAACCTTGATGACATTCCTTTAGAGGTACATCTACACTGCACGCTGCCCAGCCTTCTGTTCTATCCCCCTGTTTGCCAGAGGCTGGGAATGGGTGACAGGGGGATGGATCACTTGATGATTACCGGTTCTGTTCATTCCCTCTGGGGCACCTGGCACTGGCCACTGTCAGAAGACAGGATACTGGGCTAGATGGACCTTTGGTCTGACCCAGTAGGGCCATTCTTATTGTCTTATGTTGAGACTGGCAGGGGGGAAAAGGGTAGTGGCTTCTTTAAGAGTTCCCCATCACTTGAGAGTTGGAGGATGGAAAGGCGTCACTTGAGCTGGTGGGTGGGCCCATGGGGCTCAGGTAACTCATTGGCCCTTGTGCACCTGTGGGAGGGGATCTAAATCCTGTCCCTCCAGTCCTGAGTCTCCGCTCATGCCTGGATGCAAGTGTCCTGAGCAGCTACTCATTCTATAGGGGGTCCAGTTCCCTGATAAACTGAAAGTGGGCTTAGGAGAAGGCATCCCCTAAAGAAGCCGGATAATGGGATTGAGGCTTCTAATATCTAGAGACAACCCCCTTTCCCCAGGCCCTTAACTCTCATATGAGGGGAGGGCAATGGAGTCTCAGTAACTGGCTTGGACCAGCTTTGGAGTGGAGGGGGACTGATGGCAGCCCTGTCAGGTTGAAATGATTAAGGAAGGGTAAAGCCTGGAAGCATGAGTTATTGTTGGATAGTTCCCAGATGAGTTAATAAAGTTGCAGCCTAGTTAAACCACATCCAAACATGGGACAATGGGCTAAGGAGTGTCAGTGTTTCATTTATAACACAAACAGGAGACACTTTGATCTAGAAAAGAGAAGATGTTTTAATCAGTACCAGCTGCCCTTAATCTGTTTTATTTTTAAAATAATTATTTCAACTATTGTCAGTAGGTTACTCCTGGGGGAATTCTGCCCACTGCAGAATTTTGCAGAAATTAATGTTGTGCACACAGAATTTCCTTTCCCTCACAGAAATGGGCTACAGTGCTGCTAGCTGCCACTAGAGGTCGCTGGACCCGCAGAGCCCAGCTTGCACATAGAAGACACTGCTGGGGGGATGGGAAGAGAGCTAGAGGGTTCAGTTGGCAGCTTCAGTTCCCAGCATGCCCTGAGGGGAGGAGAGGGCGGCGCACAGCAAACTCTGAAAGACTGGGACCCAGCATCAGGCTGTTCCTCCCTCTGGATCCTTGGGCTCTGGGGTGGGAGAGGGTGGGTGTCTGGGCAAGGGGGGGGCCTTGCCTGGGTTCTGGGGGGAAGAGGGTGCAGGTATCTGGGCCGGCTGGGCTCTGTGGGAGGGAAGGGGCAGAGAAATAGGAACTGGGTTGTCATAGGTGTTTCTTTAACTCTCTACTGCTGGGGGAAGTTTTGTGTGTCTGTATTGTTACAGACATACTTGCTGACAGGTATTTTGAAATAAATTACCAAAATAATTGCAACTGGCGTGATTATGTAGTAGTATTTAGACAAAATTTGCAGAATTTTAAAATACTGTGCACAGAATTTTTAATTTTTTGGCACAGAATGCTCAGAGGAGTAGTAGGAGTAGTGCATATTATGTCTAGATTTCCAGGCTCCATTGTAGCTCATTTAAAAATGGCCTTAGGAAAACTAGTATATGCACCTCATGAGTCTGTTTTTGTAACCTATACTTACAAATTGTTGACTAATATAATTTAGCAAGGCAGACTAATATAAACAGAAAAAAGAGAATCTGTATCAATCATTGTAGCCTGTATTGTGCCCAATAGTGCAAATCTTGGGAGCTGGTAAACATCTAAGCCTCTTTTGTTTTTTGTATTTATTTTTGTTTTAAATTTCCCAGGAATTTATCAGTTTTTATTCAAAAATTTAAAAAGCGTGAGCAAATTGGTTCAAAAACTGAAAACAATGGGTAGTGACAGTGTTCTCTGTATGTGGCAGCTGAGGAAACCTTCCACTGCTTGCAGTAGTTGGGTTGTCTCAGCTGCGCGGGCCCGATTCCTTGCCTGTCTCATTCCACCAGCCCCCATGCAGGGGAAATGAATGGGGCATCCTGAGGGGCTGGGGTCAGGAGGGGAGTAGAATGCTATATCCTGTGATTACTCGCCCCACCAGATGCAGCCCTCTCCTGACTTCATCCCTTCAGCTCAGCCCAAGCTGTTTCTCCTTCAAAAATTGCCCAGGTCCCAAAAATGGAAGGGAAGGGAGGGGAGGGGAGGAGGAATCAGTAAAACCTGAACAATGGCTTTTTCAAAAACTTGGGAATTTTGGGGGGGGAAATGGTAAATATCAATAACAAAGGGCCTTAATATAGTAAAGCCTAAGTGTGTTGTGGTTTTTGTAACTGTATATTCTCCTCTTTACAAAATTTAACTTCCTCTGTGCAAATCTATTAAAATCTATTAGAACACGCTTACTAGTTTTGTAAAGCAGAGGATATTATTGTAATGGAAATTCTACTAATAGAATACTCTATAAAATGACAGTGTTTTTTGCTCTTGGTCAAACTTTTCTAATCCTACTGAATCTGATATACCTGCGTTTTATACCATATTGATCTTCTCTGTGTAACATAGGGTTTAGACGTTATGCTGCTTATTTATCAGTATTGACACATCATATAAAAGCCTTATTGAATAAGATGGTTTTCTACTACTCTTTAGGTACCCAAATTAACCAAAGTTTGACACCTGAAATCTGTATTTATGCACCTATGTATAAGCGATGACTCTTCTCCCTGCCCCACCCCCAGACATATGGTGTACCCAGTGCTCCAGGAATTTAGTGGGAATCACTCTTGCTCAACAATTCTTAAAATTTAGATGCATAAATGTAGATTTAGTTGTCTAACCTTCACCATCTAAACTTCAGTCCAAGTTTGGAAAGCTGAGCTTGATCTTTTTCTGCACCAGAGACTTATTTTGAACAGGTTGTTTTATTTATTTTTTTAATTTATTTTTAGGGGAAATGTGTGGAGTGTTTTAAATGACCTTTTGAGGTGCACTGTATCAATTGCTCTACTTGCTTACATTACGGTGACAATTTGTTCAATATCTTTTAAAGCCCTAAGATCATGGGTTGGACAGGTGTCTGTTGTAGAAATGAAGGTGGTGATACACAGAAAAGGGGAGCAAAGTACCAGATGGCAGAATGAAACATTTAGAGTTAACTGCTGTATGGTCTGGGGCCCAGATCCTTAAAGGGTCTTATGTGCCTAATTGCCTCTTCAGGCACCTAAATTCATCATTAAGTGCCACTGACATTTTCAAAACCACCGTTCAGCTACTGCTGCTGCCTAAACTGATAGGTGCCTAAGTCCCCAAGACATCTTTGTTTCTGCCAGCAGGCACATGCAAAGCCACCTAAGTCCTGACACCACCCTGCAGCTAATGAGCTGCTCAAATCAAAGCCCCAGAGACCCTCAAAGTGGAATTGTCAAACTAGGTGGGGGAACACCTATCTTGCCAGGAGAGCCCAATCCTGTAAGCATACTCTGAGCATGCCTAAAGCCTGACACCAGTTAGGCTCTGCAGTCAGGCCACCGACAGGTGGGGAGAAAGAACTTGCACCCACACAAGACAGCTGTGGAGACAGGGAAACAGGTGAGCAGGAGAGGGGTATAAAGCAGTAGACAGAGACTGATAGTTTTGGCTGCTAGGTTATGGGTTACCTAACCTAAGTCACATTGACCATTTAGGTGCCTAACTCTAGAAGAGGGTTCCTGGCTGAGGATCCTGAGCAGAAAGAGGCACTTATCTCTGGCCCATCAGTCAGGTGCACCAGGTCAGCCTATGAGGTGCTTAAGCCTCTCTCCTCAGCATTTCACTCCTGGCTAGCTTAGGTAGCTCTCCTCTCAGCTTCCTGGCTTCTGAGGATCCCTTTCTTAAGCACTTAATGATCTCCATGCATATATGGAGAGCCCGGGTGCCAACTTGGGGCTGAGGATTCCACTAGGTGGCAGGCTGCCTAGAGGTGAGATGTCACAACACCGAGCAGAGAAATGCCTAAATACCTAATGAGCATTAGTCTCATTGAGCCTTAGTTCCCCATCTGTTAAATGCAGAGAATAGTACTTCTACAGGGGTGTTGTGAGGATAAATGCATTAAAGATTGTGAGATGTTCAGATTCTACGGTGATGGTGGCCATATAAGCACCATAGATAGCACTGCATCTGAAATACAGTCAAATAATGTCATACTTTGAAGATACCTTAGAGATGGTAAGTTCTTGAGTCACACACACTACATTCTCAATACCTTTGTTCATTCCAGCATAAATTGATTTCCTCTATGGGTCTTCAGTCATTTCCCTTAGGATACGCCTCCACTGTCAGACTTCAGCACTAGAAGACTTCCCCTCCTATCCAATCTTCACCACCATCCTTGGTTCAGTTTCCTCCTATTACTCCTGGTTATACTCACCCACTTGAGCTGCTTTACAAATAAACCATTCCTTGTTGTTCATTTGTTTTAGCTTGGCTCTGCAGGAGGGATTCATATATTCGTAACTCAGTCCTTCTAGCCTTTTAATCTTTGCTTTTCTTCCTTCCACTTTGTTCACATTTGCCCACGTGGGGGTGTCTAGAACTTGTACCTAGAGTTCTAGGCTTAGTCTCACTAGCTACATGTATGCAGCCTAAATTCATAGAGACATTTTCTCCCACTACATGGTATTGTAAATTTATATTTAACTCCTTTCCTCTTTCACTCTTTAAGGCTTTTTCAGTACACTTATTTCCCTCCTGTTGAATGTGTGTTGGATTATTTTCCTTCAGTTCTCGTCTGCATTATTTGTTGAAATATTTTATGTTCTGCCTAAATAATACTTCACCTTGAAATGCAAAATGAGATGTGTGTTAGCTAACGCCCACCTTTAGAACTGCAGGTCTGTACATGACAGGCATTGCCTTTCAATGAAATCTTCAGGAGTGTTTGGTTTTATGGCAATAGTCTGTGCAGTATGAAGTTAGCTGACCAGTTCGAAGGAACTATGAGTTAGTTAGGATATAGCTCTCAGAAAATGTACTGGACAGCGGTAGCATCTGAGAAGCAAAGATCGTTATGATAATGATTAACTACTAGCTAAACTCAAATGTTAAAGCATTTAGGGCCAGTTTTTTAAAGATATTTGGGTACCTAAAGATGCAGCTAGGTGCCTTGTTGGATTTTCAAAAATGCCTAAACTCCTATGGATTTGAATCCCAGGAGACTTCTATCTGCAACTGTAGGCACCTAACATCCTTTTAAACCCTGATCCTTGGTGTTCATTTGTTACATCATTCAAATTTAATGAGTTTCACACGTTTATTTTAACAAAACTATGACATTCATATGTGACATTCTGATTTTCAAGTACTGATCTCAGCAGTGTGCCTGTAGTGCCTTTCATGTTCAAATAACCCTTTTATAATACTGTGACCAAAACAAGAAAGTAGACTAGCAAAGAGTGCATTAACACCAGGAACCTTTGTCTGTAGAATGAGATTCTATGGCCTAACTATATTTAGATTCATGCACAAGTCTGTGTAGACTGGAGCTATCTTGAGTTTAGAGTTCTCTTGAACACTCAATGGATGCTATATCATTCCTTCTGCTGTCTTCCCTTGCTTTTCTGTGTTGAATTTCTTAGTCTCCTAGCTATTTATCCAGCCTTCATAGCTATCCTGCTGCTCTCCTGGCCTTTTATATTGTCCTCAGTTTGAAACAATGGCTGAAATCCTGGCTCCATTGAAATCAATGGGAGTTTTGCCCTTGGCTTTGATGGAGCTGGGATTTCATCCAGAATCTGAGAAGTGTGGGTATCTTAACCACTGGGCTATAGAGTATTCTAGAGTCGGTCTCTCTGTGTTTCATGTTGAAGCTGTTCCACTTTGTTTAAATAATTAATATAGTCATTGGAACAGGAACTTGAATTTGAGTCTCTGAGTGCCCTAACCATAGGGCTATAGAGCATTCTCACTCTGTCTGGCTCATATTTTTACATAATAGAATAGCTTCATCAGGAGACAGGTGAGAGAGCAAGCTACCCCAGAATAACCCCAGTGGTTAGTTTACTCTCACTTGAAACTTGGGAGATGTGGAGCAGGGATTTAGACCCACATCAGGCAGAAGGGGGATTTGAATCAAGGTCTTCAACATCCTAGGTGAGTGCGCTAACCACTGCGATAAGGTTATAATGGGGGGACACCAGCTCCTCATTTTTTTGGTGAGAAAGGGCTTAGGTGCCGAACTGCAGGAGAGGGTCTAGGGCTGTGAATACCAAGCAGAGAGAGGCATTTTCCTTCTGGTTCAGACATAGGCACCTAAGTCCTTTCGAGGGGTGGGACTAGGCACACCCCTCTTGTCATTTCCTTGGAGGAAGTCCCTTCGCTTTGGGTGTGGTGGTTTTTTTTGTTTTTTTTTTTAATGTCCTGGGAATGTATTTGGTTTTTATTGGGGAAAAAATTAGTAAAATAAAACCAAAAAAACCAAAACAAAGTAAGGGCGGTGAGAGGGCAGTTGTGGCTGGGGGGAAGGGGCGTGTACACACCAAGGGGCAGTTGAGGAACCTCCTGCGCCAGTCGTGCAGGACCTAGCCCGTTGCTCATCTCCCTCTCTCCACCCTTGGAGGGGGGTGAAAGACTTCCCCAGGAGTACTAGCCCCCCTGCTGGGCAAAGCCTCCTGCTAACCCTACTGGCCCTTATGTACGGCCCCATCTGCTTCCCCGTGAAAAATTCCCGGGTCTCGGAAAAGCCACAATTTCAGCAAGTATCAGCAACACCTGAATACTGGCTTTTTTAAAACCCTGGGAATTTTTCTGGGAAAATCAGTAAATACCAATAACGAAGGGCCTTACCTATTGCCTAGCTTATGTGGCTCATTGCTCAGCATGCTGGCCTTTGTGAATCCCATTCTTAGGCACCTGACTCCTCCCCAGGTATGGTTTGGAGAGCCAGTGCACCTAACTCAGGGCTGTGGATTCCACTAGGCAGCAAGGGCTCCTAAACATTAGGTATTGCAGTGCTGAGTATACGTCCCCTATCTAGATTTAGGCCCTTAGACTTCAGCTTCATAGATGCCTCCGCTGACCACCTGCTAGTCAAGTGATTACTAGTCACAAAAGAGACATGGAGGCAGTACCCATAGCATACATCCCACAGATGTCAGTTAATGCTTTGTAGAATGCTCTGAAAATGTTAAGTGCTGCTCTAATTATTACTGTTGTTACTCATAATACTAAACGAGGAGTTATTTAGCAGTAGATTCAATGAAATGGGAGGATCAGGGTTTTCTAATACTTAGCATATTAAAGTACAATATAGGAATGCTGGCATTAATGATCTATTCCAGCACTACAACATCTATAGAAATAAACACCTACAAACATTTTACAACAGAAAAATATGAAGTAGATAGATCGTCTTTTAAACATGCCCTAGGTAAATGAATATTTTTGTATTTATTCCCAATTTTGATGCCCGCTGAAGTAACATTTGATGCTCAGAGGTAATCATTTTGAAGTCTAATAGCTATTTTTATTTCCACGGTTATTTTAGTATATATAATTTTGCTTTTTTTCCTCTCCCCCAGCAATACAGAACCTTCTGAAAAAAGATTTCATGTGAGTAGCTTCATGGCAGACTTTGGAAAACCTCTGGAGTCAGACAAGGTTTTTTCACGTCAAGTAGCTGAAGAGTCCAGGTCACTCTTTCACTTTTACATTAATGAAGTGGAGCATTTGGACAAAGCAAAACAAAGCCATAAAGCCCCTGGTCTGGACAGTAATATTCACTTCCAGGAAGTAGCAAGGAGTAGTGGAAGGCTGGAGGAGGAGCTGAATTGCCTTACAAAATTTAACATTCCCAACTTCGTGAACACTGACCAGAGTTCTTCACTGGGTGAAGATGATCTGCTGATTTCAGAGCCCCCAATCATTTTAGAAAGCAAACCAGTTATCCAAGCCTCACGTCAGATCCTTGACTGAAAAACCTTGATTTCTAAAGCAGAGTGTCTTTATTGTTTGTGGTATCAGGAACTCTTATTCAGCTGCTAACATCAGACCTTTTGCCTATTTCAGTAGAAAATATTTCATATCTTATGCCTTGTGTTTTATTGTGAATATTGAACTGATTTCACTTTCGTATAAAGTGAAATACTTAATATTTTATGTCAAGACTTATTTTATGTCACTTTCAAGTGTTTCCTAAGATCAAAACCTTCTTCGGCATTGCTGTTGTTGCTTGCTATTTGTTTTATTTAACTAGCCATCATGCCCAGCTGCCTAGTGGTAGCAGAACACACTAACACGATACAAGAGTTGCAATACACTTAACTTTGCTTTGTGGGGATTGCTGCAGCTGCACAGGGAGGAGTATCACTGGATTCTGAAAGGAGTGGTGTGGAACTGGTTGTCCAGGAGGACAGTAAACTCAAATCAAGACTGAATGGAGGAATAAAAAGAGGAAGCACCTTTTCGGGCCTCTGAATCTCCTCTCCTCCCCTGCCCCCTTTCAAAAGGCAGATTATTTTGAAACATAACTAACATAATAGAAATTTGCCTGCCATTAATCTGCACCCAAGACTCCTATCCGCTTTTAGAGGCTGCTGAAACCCCATGTATCAAAATTCTAGTGATGCTGTTTTGTATATTATATTCAATGGCCATATTTAGCTTTTCAGAAAATTTCATATTCTTGCAGTTGTGGGTGGGTGACCTAGAATGAATGCATTCTACATACAATTAATAACATTGTTTGGTGGACTTGAGTGTCAGTGCGAGCCTTTAACATAGTGAGCACAGGATTTAATACAGAAACAATAGGAAACAGGGTAGAAAACATTCCTGTTTTGCTCACAGCACAGCAGATGTAGCCAGTTACTATAGTGTATGTTTGTAATGGATTGATACTTCCTGCTCCTGTACTTGACTCAGGGCTTGGCTAAGCTTGCAAGTTAGAGCGCATTAAAGCAGCCCCAGGTGCCCTAACTTCCGATGTGTCCACACTGGCAAGGCACGTAGAGCGCCTGGACTCTGCAGCTGGAGTGCTCCTAGTAATCCACCTCCCCAAGAAGCATAAAGTTCACTGTGCCCCAGCTGAAATGCCCGGGCGTCCATGTGAAAGAGGTATTGCATTACTGTGCTGTGATTGGCCTCCAGAAACGTCGCATAATCCCCTGAAGTCAAGTGGCCACTCTTCTCATTGTTTTGAACTCTGCTACAGGAATGCGGCTATCCCCTTTCAAAGCTCAGTTTCTGACAGCTGGCATGCTTATCTGCTCTGGGACAAAGCAAACCATTAGTGTGGAATGCTGCTGTTGTGAGTGTGTGTGTGTGTGGGGGGGGGCGGGGGCGGTCTGCTGCTGTCTGAATGTAGAAGACAGTATGCTGACTCTCTGACTCCCCCCACATACACACAACACACTCCCTGTCACACTCCAACACCCCTCCCCCATTTGAAAAGTACATTGCATCCACTTGCATACTGAGATAGCTACCACAATGCACTGCTCTTTGTGACATTGCAAGAACTGCTAATGGGGCCACGCCAGTGCGCTTGCAGCTGTCAGTGTAAACACACAGCAGTGTTTTCCCTGCTGTGCTTTCTGAAGTCTAGTTTAACTCCCAGCGCTCTACCTCTGCAAGTGTAGCCATGCTCTCAGAGAAAGCGAGCAAGTGCTGCACAGTACTTGCAACTGTAGTGTTCACGCATTCTGATATTTTTTAGGTAACTGCAAAACCACTGAGACCTATCCTCTAACAAAATAAAGAGTTTGGGAGAGATTTAGTTTTATTGCAACATTTTTTTTTTCTTCACCTTTTAAAAAAGACAGTTACTCACCTTTGTAACTGTTGCTCTTCAAGATGTGTTGCTCCTATCCATTCCAATTAGGTGTGTGCGCACCACGTGCACGATTGTTGGAAGATTTTTACCCCAGCAACGCTCAGTGGGTCGGCTGAGGCGCCCCCTGGAGTGGCGCCTTCATGGTGCCGGATATATGCTCCAGCCGACCCAGCGCCCCCTCAGTTCCTTCTTGCCGGCTACTCCGACGGAGGGGAAGCAGGGCGGGTTTGGAATGGATATGAGCAACACATCTCGAACAACAGTTACAAAGGTGAGTAACTGTCTTTTCTTCGAGTGCTTGCTCATATCTATTCCAATTAGGTGACTCCCAAGCCTTACCTAGGCGGTGGGGTTGGAGTGAGATGTCCGGAAGTGAAAGACCGCTGAATCAAATGCAGCATCACCCCTGAACTGCTGAATTATCGCAGTGGGCGGTGAAGGTATGCACCGATGACCAAGTCTCTGCCTTACTAATCTCCTGTATGGGTACGTGTGCTAGGAAAGCAGAAGATGAAGCCTGAGCCCGTGTGGAGTGGGTGGTATGGTGCGTAGTTGGGACACCAGCCAAGTCATTGCACGCATGGGTGCATGATATGATCCAGGACGAGATGCACTGGGAGGAGACGGGAAGGCCCTTCATCCGGTCTGCCACAGAAACAAACAGCTGCGATGTTTTCCTGAAAGGTTTTGTTTGCTCGATGTAGAAGGCGAGGGCCCTGCAAACATCCAGGGAGTGCAGCTGTTGTTCCCATCGAGAGGCGTGCAGCTTCGAGTAGAAGATGGGGAGGAAGATGTCCTGGTTGAGATGGAAGGCAGACACCACTCTTAGGGAGCAAGGCCAGGTGGAGTCGCAGCTGTACCTTGTCCTTGTGGAACACTGTATACGGTGGTTCCGATGTGAGTGGCCTGAGCTCAGACACACGCCTTGCCGAGGTGATAGCTACGAGGAAGCCTGTCTTCCAGGAAAGGTACAGGAGTGAGCATGGCCATAGGCTCGAACAGGGCAGCCATGAGTTTGGAGAGGACCAGGTTAAGATCCCACATAGGGACCAGTTGTTGAATTCATGGGAACAGGCGCTCCAACCCCTTGAGAAATCTGCTGACCATGGCATTGGAGAAGACTGAATGCCCGTTTTTGCCTAGGTGGAAAGCCGAAATAGCTGCAAGGTGCACTCTGATGGATAATATCGCCAAGCCCTGCTGTTTTAAGGACAGGAGGTAGTCCAAGATGATAGGTACTGATACCTGTAGCGGGGCCATATGATTTTGAGCGCACCAGCAGGAAAAACGCGTACACTTGGCTAAGTACGTGGACCTGGTAGAGGCCACTGGCCTGCACCGTCCTCGCCCTGCTCCTGGGCGTGGTAGCCATCTTGTGAGCATGACCGCCAAGGCGGTGCCGTATGTGTCGGTGCAGAGTCCCCCAGTGCTGTATGGTGCCAGGGACCAGTGGCGTGATGCAGAATGGTACTGAGACTTCGATCGGTGCCTGCAGTCTTATTGGTACTGGGAGCCTGATCTGGATCTCGATGGTGACCTCCGGTGAGATCGGCGCCGGGATCGGCTCCAGGTTGAGTGTTGCTCTGACCGGTACCGGGAGCGGTGCCGGGAGTCCGATTGGTACCGGCCGTACCGCAATTCGGATCTCTGTGAGCTGGAGCGGCGTCGCGAGTACAACTGGTGCAGAGAATGAGATCGGTGCCGGGACTGCGAGCGATGCCATGAAAGGTGCCGAGACCCAGATCGGGACCAGTGCAGTCTTGCTTCACTCGGCAACGGTGGTCGTCGTATCAGGGACGGTTTTCCCTTCGACGGCACTGCCCACACCGGAGATGCCGCTGGCTGCAGGGGAGTCAGCTCTGTGAGCGCGATCAAGTCCCGTGCTGTTGAAAAGGTCTCCAGCGTGGAGGGCAGCCTCAGCTTGACCGCAGTGTGCACCGGGGGGCTTATATGCACCGGACTCGATGGCCCTTGTGGCGCTGGAGTAGATGGTGCAGGAGCTGTTGCTTGTCTTGTGCGCTCCGGCAATGGATGCGGCTCCAACTGTGGTGTAGGAAGTGTCGGTGGCTGTCAAACCGACAAACAAGAAGCAGTCAGAACCCGCTTGGGCTGCTGCTTCTTCTGGCCCGGAGATAGGGACCGGTGCTGTGGTGGTGGAGGTGCCGGGGAGACCTGGTGCCTCAAGTCTTTAGTAGAGTCCGAACGCGGTGCCGGACCAATCGGCGCCGCAGGCGTACTCCGCACCGAAGATGCCGCCAAGTCTGGGTGCGCGGAGGAAGGGACTGGGCTAAGTGCTGCCTCCATAAGGAGCTGCTTCAGTCTAAAGTCCCGCTCCTTTTTGGTCCTCGGCTTGAAGGCTTTGCAAATGCGGCACTTGTCCGCTTGGTGGGACTCCCCCAGACAGCTTAGGCAAGAGTGTGGGGGTCTCCCGTTGGCATTGGCTTCAGGCAAGCCGAGCAGGATTTGAAGCCCGGAGACCCAGGCATGGGCCCGGTACCGGGAGAGGGGAGAAGACCCTGTTCCACCCCACTAAGTAAACTAAGTCTAACTATACTAAGAACTACTAACAACTATTAACAACTAATCACAAACTATTAACAGGTAATAAAGCGAATGCTAGGGAGAGTGGAGATCAGCTATGCGGTAAGAAGGAACTGAGGGGAAGCTGAGTCAGCTGGGGCATATATCCAGCGCCATGAAGGCGCCACTCCAGGGGGCGCCTCAGCCGACCCGAGCGTTGCTGGGGTAAAAATCTTCCGACGATTGTGCACGCAATGCGCACACACCCAATTGGAATCGATATAAGCAAGCACTCGAAGAAGAACTGGAAGAGGTATTGACTCTGAGGTGAGAATTATTTACAGAAAACTAATAAATAGTTGAGGCCCAAATGGAAAACCCTGCCTAAATTTAAAATTTGTAGCATCCCAACACATTTTTATGATGGGATTAAGTGATTTTTTTAGGGAGATGTGATATTATGCAGTGGTTAACTCTGAGAATTATGGATACTTTTGTAAATCATGTCAAATTGCCATCACAAATTTCTTGAAAAGTCAAAGTAATGCCTCTCTTTTAACATGTGTATAACTATGCATTAATTTCATTATGGCAAATCTACCTTACATCTTCCCTCTGCTTGTTGTTTTGTCTATATGTGTAATTTATGATCTGCTTACACAATGATCATTTACCTGAGAAATCCATCAAAGATGATCTCTATTTCCCTCCATCAGTGGAGGAAGTTATGAAAGCCATGAAACAACAGAACTCTGGCAAAGCATCCGGAAAGGCTGGTATTCCAGCAGAACTTTATAAAGCAGCAGGCTCCAAGGCCATCGAGGTGTTTCATGACATCTTGAGTAGCATTTAGGAGGAAGAAATGCCACCAGACTTCAAAGATGCTATTATTGTATCATTGTTCAAAAACAAAGGCAGCAAAGCTGCTTATGGAAACTACAGAGGCATTGCTCTCTGTACAGCAGGGAAAATACTAGCTCGCACTTTACTGAACAGACTCATTGCAGACATATCTGAGGAGAATCTGCCAGAAGTGCAGTGTAGTTTCAGACCAGATCATAGTACTATGGACATGATCTTTGTCGTAAGGCAGGTCCAAGAAAAGTGTTTAGAGCAGAACATGGACCTGAATGCAGTTTCCATCGATTTGATGAAAGCTTTTGATACAGTCAACAGAGAGGGTCTATGGGCTATTTTACATAAAATGGGCTGCCCAAGAAGGTTCATACAAATCATCCATCTGTTCCATGACCACATGACCGTGCAAGTGCTCCCCAGTGGTGACTTTTATGATGCATTTGAAATCGCGAATGGAGTGAAGCAAGACTGCGTACTTGCTCCAGTGCTGTTCATCTTGTTCTTTGACTGTGTCCTCAGCCACGTCACAAGGGACTTGGACGAGGGGATATCTTTCACTTCAGAGGGAGTTGTAGAACAAGAAGTCTATTCTTATCACACAAAGAACCAGATACTCTCCATCTACTTCATGTTGCTTTCATAAGAATAACCTCAAGTAGTGGTGCAGTCTCTGAGAACTGCAATGTCAGTGGCTGGAGTAATTTTATTCACAAGTTGGAAACAACTCAAACTTTGGGGATGTACTGGTGTGAAAGATAAACCAGCCCACGCCAAAGCAGCTGCACTTGGACAACAACTATGCAGAATGTTGCCAGCAGTACACATGCTGACTGGGTGTAATTCAACCAGGAATCTGGCATGGTTTGCAAACTAAACTTTATCAGGAAAAATCCACACAAATTTAGAAGCCTTGCCAATTTTGGCACTGTGGTGGAGATACTTGTGCTGATTTCAGCTGCGCAGGAACTTCTGATAACCCTTCTCTGACACAACGGCTAACTCAGTAGATGTAAATGGTGTGTGATACATACAGACCTGGAACAAGGCCCTCCCCACAATTTGATAGTCTTGTGCAACATACCAAGCATGCAGATTACCAGACCTTTATCTGGAATGATGCCATGGAGGCTTGACCTGACATCTCTTCTCTCCCCCCATGGAAATAGCTGGCATCACAAGGCTGGACAGATTTCTCCAACACTAATGACACAGACACTTGCCACTGAAGCACTCCCGGAACCCATTACATGTAGATGTAAAAAGCCAAATGTGGAGGCAGCCGTAGTTGTTCAAGATAGAGCATGGCATACACATTGACTTGCTTGTGTACTGGTCATGAAGACTGTTTGACACTGACAATTTTGTGATGAGTATAATCTAAATGAGACCAACTACAGATTGTTCAGACTTAGACAAGTAGCATATGTCAAATATATTGAAAAAGATTAGTATATACTGTCATATTGCCCATCACTGAGAGGAGTCCAGTGGCTATTAGTAGGGCCCTACCAAATTCATTGTCATGAAAAAGGCGTCACGGACTGTAAAATTTGGTCTCCTCCCCGTGAAATCTGGTCTCTTGTGTGTTTTTACCCTCACTTCTGCACTGCCTTCAGAGTTGGGTGGCCGGAGAGAGGCAGCTGTTGGCTGGGCCCCCAGCTCTGAATGCAGTGCCCTGCCAGCAGCACTGCAGATGTAAGGGTAGCAATACCATACCATGCCATCCTTACTTCTGCACTGATGCTGGCAGTGGCTCTGCCTTCAGAGCTGGGCTCCCAGCCAGCAGCCGCTGCTCTCCAGCTGCCCATCTCTGAAGGCAGTGCTGCGGCCAGCAGCAGCACAGAAGGGTAGCAGTACCACAACGCCCCGAAAATAACCTTATGACCCCCCCCTCCCCCAACTCCTTTTGGGTCAGGATCCTTACAAATACAATACCCTAAAATTTCAAATATATATAACTGAAATCATGAAATTTAAGATTTTAAAAATCCTATGACTGTGAAATTGACTAAAATGGACCATGAATTTAGTAGGACCCTAGCTATTAGTTTTTGCTAGCATCATAGTGTGAAATAGTATACTCAGCTTGTAATATAATGAATAATCTCTGCATTTATCAACACAAAACACAAGGCCAACATTCTTTAAGTAATAAGCCTTATTAATTTGTGTCAAACTATTTGGATGACTAAATTTTTTTTTTGTATGTAGTGTTGTTGTAGCCATGTCAGTCCCAGGATATTAGCGAGACAAAGTGGGTGAGGTATTATCTTTTATTGGATCAATTTACGTTGGAGACAAGTTTCCTGTTTGACCCTGTGTTTAGTTGACACACTGAATACCCTTTCCAGACCTGAAGAAGAGCTTTGTGTTGCTCGAAAGCTTGTCCCTCTCACCAGCAAAAGTTGGTCTAATAAAAGATATTTCCTCACCCATCTTGTCTTTCTAATTTTTTCTTTTAATGTAAATTGTTTAAATCCCCTTTTCATGTTTTCTTTCCAACTTGTCTTGACAACTTAAGTACATTTTTGTGGACTTTTCACTCACACAAAAGGTTGTTTAGACATGGGTAAAAAAATCTTGCACTGGCATCTCTTGCTACTACCTTAGAACACCACATCCACCGTAGAAAGTACCAAAGGGACACATCTATCAAAATAAGTTGTTGCTTTCTGCGGGGGGAGGGCCCTACATCCCCCCCCAAATTTCTGTTGGCCCCCAGATGAAAAGTGGGTAGTGGTAGGGCCAGCCACAGGATTTCTTGGGCCCTAAGATGTTGGAAGAGAACATGGACAAAGTATGTCGTGTGTGTGTGCTCTAATCCTGTGCTGGAAGGTGTAGTGAGATGGAGGGAAGAGCTCACTGCCAAACCAGTTATACTCTGATATACTCTGTTTTGCGAAGCTTGTGGATGCAGAGGCTGCTTGTGTTCAAGGTCTACTGTGGATACTGCATTTACTTTGTACCAATGTAAACAGTTTTAAAAGATTTAACTAATCTTGTTTGAATTAAATCTGCAGCTGTTAGATCAAAACCTTTTGAACCTGGATTCTTCAGAGGTGGTGAGGAGCGTGTTACAATGACTGAAGGTGTGAGATCTTTAAAATATAGGCCATTTTTTAACTTCACAAAGTGGAATGGTGAAGGGTCAGACACAAAGGGAAGGCTGTTTAAGGTACTTGTTGAAAGGCTATTTCCTAATATTTCAAAATTCACCCCTGTAGCAAATGATTGATTAGTGTAGTTGTGCTGCATTTGATGCATAATATCTCTTGATACTAAACAAAAAGATTTTACAAACAGCTATCCCCCATTATGTCAAGTGAAATGCAACTACCTCTGCAGTGAATTGTTGATAGCAGTTTAAGAAAGTGTAACAGCAGCTTAGATTAAGAAGTGAAAGATACCCACCCCCTTGAAACTGCTGGAGGTAAACTGCATGTAATAACTGGTCCCTGAGTGGCATACTGACACGAACAAGTCAGTGGCTCTTTAATGATTATAAATTCTCCAGGTGCTCAACTTCAAGACCTCCCCTCAAGCAGTGCCTGAACACCATGTGGAGGTGTTGGTTTAAAACTAAATCAAAAAGAAAGATGTTACATCTTGAATGAACACCTCTGCATCTTGCACAGCCCTCTATTATCTGAATTCTGACCCAGCCACACCCTTTGCTGGGGGGCAGTCTGATCAAAATCGCAGCTCAAAGTCCTAAGTTATATGTTGACAATACACAGCCATAGCAATGTCACTGTAGCTATGCTGTCATAAGGACATGGTTTGTGTGCAGCCTACACTGCTGGAGGAAAGGTTTTTTCTGTTGGTATGGGAACACTACCTCCATCAGAGGACATGTTCACGGTGGTCAAGTGGTATAGCTATGTAAATCAAATGGTTAAGTGTATTTTTTTCTCCATATTGCTAACATAGCTATGTTGATTTAATACAGAAGTATAGACCAAGCCCATCCCTGTATAAATATTCATAACCAACTGCTGCCCTCACTTACAAATCCTTGGGGAGCGGTGCCTGCATAGGTTGGGGGCTGAATTCAGCCTCTAGCTGCGTTGTGCTTTTTTTTTTTGGGGGGTGGGGGGGTTGGGAGAGGAGAGGAGAGAGACAAGCATATTATCTGCTTCAGATAAAATTAAAGGATTCTAGCACAGAGAATATCAAGCCTTCATAATAAGTGCTAAGGTAGCTTTTGAGCTGGGAAGGAAGCGTTAAAACTTAGCTTCCAAAGTAATTTTCATTTTGCTTGGGAAAAAGATTTGTCTGAGTGTAAAGGAATTTGCCATGTCCACCCAACCAAATTTGCATCTCTGCAGCAAACCTGCAAAATAAGCAGTCTATGATGGACTGCATTGGTTGCTGAACAAGGTGTGGAGGAGCAAAACATTGACAGCAGTATTTGATTGTCAGTAAGCAATTAAACCATTTTCCTACCAATGAATTTAGTGTAGCCCTACCTAGAGCTTATCTGTTCTCTCACTGTATGACTGCTTGCCATGAAAGAGATTTAGTCATGGGCAGCAAGGGAATGTAATATTTTACATTCCAAATATATATTTTTTAAAAGTAGTTTGCTGGTAGCTGTGATAAAAGACCAGAAAATTGCTGTAGACAGTCCAGTTAAGAGGGACCAAAACCAGGATAGGTTCTCTTCTGGGACCTGTTTCTGGACTCCTGCAGGTGCCAGGATTATGCTTCTATTTCTCATTGGAGTGGAATTGTACCAGCCAACTGCTTGCAGACTGGCTCTCTGTATCATCCCTCCCTGACTGCCAACTGTGCTTACCTCGAAGGGCCAACTGGGCTTGGCCCTGCTGGAGTTGGAGTCTGTGGCCAGGAACAGTGGGTAGTGACACAGAAGCACTTTCTCCAAAGCAAAGTATGATTTATTTACCCAAATGGTACAGAGGATTTAGAGCAGTACATATGTGTCGGTGGGCTCTGGTAGTCCCTGCAAGTCCTAAGGTAGCCATGCACATGGGTGTGCACTCCTCCCCCTCCAATTATGGTACAAAAAAAAATGCAAACTTGAAAATATCTGCCCAGCCTCAATTTATTTTATATAAAAAATAAATACATAAAACTAGTGGTTCAACTAACCAGCATAGTCCCCTGTCATAAGATAAATCATAAATTGTATGACTTTAGTTAGATTGAATAATTCTGTGTAGGAAGCCAAAAACAGATCAGACAGCTCCCCAGCAGTACCCACAAGGAGAAGACTCATGACAAAGTACATTTTTTGTTTGAGAATATATATTTTTAAAAAGTTTTTTATAGGGACACTGAGAATTTATTAATACAGTAGAACCCCTTTTATCTGATCCTTCATTATGTGGCTCGGCCCATTAACTGAAACACCACCCACTTCTGGTCCTGTGTGTGCTGATCTCTCCTGTGGCTGCTAGACAGAACAGTAGCCTCCCACTTTCCCAGTCTCTGCATTATCCAAAGTTTTGATTATCTGCTCTGGCCCTGATTGACTACAGGGTTCTGCTGTATTTTAAGTTTCATATTTTGAAACAAATTCAGCTAATTGGACTAGCCACTGAGCTGCCTGAGAACAATTTCCTTTGTGCTTGTGCTGTATATTTCACAGTATCATTTTTTTCTAAAGGGGTTCTGGGACATAGGATGCAAAGCTAAAATTTGCTGTACTGATTTATAACCTCTAATATAACACACTACAATGTAACTTCTTATACAAATGAAGGAATTGTTATTCTTAATTCCCAAGGAACCTGCAGTACTAAATGTTACCAAGCAGTATATTTTTGTATATGTTCTATGTCCCTACACTACATGTAAGGTAAAACCAGCTATTACTTAAGGGGTACATATTTCCTAGTTTTCAGACATGGCTATTTATGTATGTCCATATATATAGTGTAGTAAAACTAGAGCCATGTGCTTGTGGGTAGTTTTTGCATGTTCTCTCATCTTAATAATAAAATCAGAGATAAAAACTCTTACTCTAGTTTTATTAACTATTAACCTTTGTTTTCCTGCCAGTGTCCACATAGACTTGCAAAAAGCTGCAGCAACTTATTCCTTATTTTCCCATAATGCTTAGCATTTACAGAGTACATTTCAGCTGTAAATCTCCAAGTGCCTTATAGAGGGGGGTGTTATCCTCATTTTGAGAATGGGGAAATTAAGGCAGAAATGGTGAAGTGTGACTTAGGGAATGTTACAAATCAGTAGCAAAGTGAGAGAGAGCGGTAGGAAAGTCTAAATTCTGAGTCCAGTGTCCTATCCCCTGGCTGTGGAAGATGGGCTGGAGGAGAGCAAGAGAGCCACATAATAAGCAGACTGAAGGCACTGCAGCCCACAATTATGAGAACATCTAGCAGCTTCCCATACAAACGGGACAGGATGGAATTGTGGAAGCTTGCACCCGAGCACCCTCATGGAGAGTGAGCAAATACAAAACACAACCTAGTACACTACCTTATCCATCCTTGCCGGGGCATGCCAGGCCAGTTATCTATGGCAAAGGCTACTGCTATACTATGTCTAGCAACATTAGTATGGCAACCTGAAGTTTTCCATCCCCAGAAGATGGATCAAGTATATCAATTCAGTGGTTGAGATACACCCAGTCTTGAAACCTTGCTAGCAGCAGCCCAGGACACCTGGAGTGGCCTGCTACAAATTTTTGGATACTTTTTCCCATAAAAGACAGTTTCAGACAAGGTATTTCATAACATTAGGGGCTGACTTATTCAACTAAGGCCTATCTCCTGCCTATTTAAAGTAGTTAATCTCTGCAGTGGTCTATATACCCCTATTGTCTTTCGAAACCAATAAAGGGCATAAGTCTAATTTGCAGGTGTAAACGTGACTCCCAAGTTCCAGCAATGGCATATGCAGTACTTTAAACTTGCATACAGATAGTTTTTATAAATCATGGAGTTATATGAACAGTTTCCTCACTTGTTTCAAAAGCAATCTGAAAAACCCCCAACCCTAGTTATGTATTTGACTCCTTTTATATAGCCACAGCTCCCATCACAAGATGTGATACTCTGCTGCATATCCTATTCTTTAGTGATGCAGATTTTCTCCGTTTAAAGTCTGCCTAGTCTAATCTAGGTCAGTGACTTATCAGGCTAGCTATTCTATTTTTTCAAAACATTTCCAGTACATGAAAATAGTTCCCTCCACAGGGTTTAAAGTGGAAAATGGCAACTAACATAAGGAATCAAAGCTCTGCTTATTTCAAAATGTAAAATCTGTTACAGGGGAACATTTTTAAGGATCAGGGCATCCATTTGCAGTAACAGATTGTGGAAATTTGTACTAAATGTCCAGGATTATTTCCTAGTTTCCAATGATACTACAAAGAACTCTACATTTTTAGTTTTTTAAAATATCACTTGTAAGCACAAATGAATGAGGATACCTCTAATGTAGGAAGTAAAAGGGGGACAAAAGCACCAAATGAACATATAGAATTACTTATTTGACAGATACACTAATTCCACTATAGGAGGATTTTAAAATAAAAGCCAATGAGCTGTTTTCTCAGTCCGCTTTTGCTCTGTTTCAGGAGATTTTCCTCTTTCTCTACACTCAGGAGGTATTGTTGCAACACATGGCTCCAACTTACTTCAATTTTAGGGCTTAACATCCTCAGTTTAACTCAGTTGTTCTCAAACTAGGGCCACCGCTTGTTCAGGGAAAGCCCCTGGCAGGCCAGGCCAGGCCAGTTTGTTTACCTGCCACAGCTGCAGGTTCGGCCGATCTTGGCGCCCACTGGCTGCAGTTTGCCGCTCCAGGCCAATAGGGGCTGCGGGAAGCGGCACTGGCCGCCGGATGTGCTGGCCGCCCTTCCTGCAGCCCCCATTGGCCTGGAGCGGTGAACCATGGCCAGTGGGAGCCGCAATCGGCCGAACCTGTGGACACGGCAGGTAAACAAAGCGGCCCAGCCCGCCAGGGGCTTTCCCTGAACAAGCGGCGGCTCTAGTTTGAAAACCACTCTAACTTATCCATTAGGCAGAAAGCATCTAAAAATGTTGTTTCATAGAACAGTAACTCCATACGGTCACCCGAGATGTTACAAAGTACCTGGGAGATATTACATCACACCATAACTGAGCACTTCACATAAGTAGTTTGTATACTGTAGAGAGTATGTAAGTTTTCTGTATCCTGGAGGTAGCAAGTTCTTTCCTTTCCCAAATGTGTGTTTCAATGAATGTATCTTCAAATAATGACATATTAGAAAAGACATATGGATACATGTCTTTTTATAATAAAGGGCAATAATATACGTGCTCAGTTAATTTCAAAACTAGATTTCCTTCCAACAGGGCAAAAGGTACCAATTTTGGCCCTGGACTATGTACATCAAACATTAGAATTTCTAGAAACAATGTTGTTTTTGTGTTAATATTATCTTAAAAAATGCAGTTAAGGTTTTCCTCTCAATGACCTGGGAAGCAGCAGACTTGAGAGGAGTTTTGTTGGGAGTATAAATGGACAGCTTGGAGACGTTAGGGTTTCCAGTAGCAGGCAGAAAATTCTAATTTGCTTCAGGCAAAATCCTGAACTGTCTTGTTGCTAGACATTCTTGTCCCAGTTACCATCCCCAGAGTACCTGCTTCAGAACCCTACAACTACTGGCTCCCAGAAGGTAATGCCACAACACATGAATGGTTTATTATGTTATCTGAACCCCTTTGTGTAATTAGAGCTTAATTACATATACTAAAAATGCTTCAGTATGTAGAGTTACGTATTTCTTTAGAAAAAAAGAAATCAAGGGAATCAACTGTGTCGTAAGGTAACTGAGAAGCTAAAGATGTAAATATACTTATCAAAAAAGGCATCTTACAATAAGTTAAGATTATGCTCTCTTTACTAATTAAAAGATTTCACCACACTTCAAAATGTCCCATCAATTGCTACTTCAAAAGAGGATACCATACTTTTATGGCAAACTAAGAACTACAGGATGAACTGAAAAAGTTACTCACCTTATGCAGTAATGATATTCTTTGCGATGGATGTCCTGGTGGGTGCCCAGTGCAGGGGTGCTTGTGTACCTGTGCTGCTGACTGGAGAACTTTGGAAGCAGTGGCCATTAGGCCTGCACATGTGCTGTCTCTCCTTGTGCTGTGCCACAAGTCTAGTCAGCGCGCACGGGCTAATACCCATCAGCTCCTTCTCTACCGCAGAATCATTTACAAGAACTCCACAATAGAGGGGATGAGGGCAGGTTGTGGAGCACCTATAAGGTAACACATCTCTAAGAACCATCGTTACTGCACAAGGTGAATAACTTCTTCTTCTAGTGTCCCTGTGGGTGCTCCACTGTAGGTGACTCCTGAGCAGTACCCCTTCTGGAGGGCCAGGACTTCATAATTGTGTCAGTAGAAGATGACAGCACTGTGGGGCCGAAGATGGCATTGGAGGCAGAGACTCAAGTGACTGCATAGTGTTCTGTGAAAGTGTGGACTGATGCTAGTATCACCACTCTACAGATCTCTGAGACAGAGACATTCTTGAAGGTGACAGATGAGGACATCTGGAAGGGGCCTGGAAGGGTCATGGTAAGATTTTGGTAACACTGTCTGATGCAATGCAAGACCTATTTAGAGAGCTTTTGGCTGAGATTGCTGAGCCCTTGGATCTTTCTGCGATGGAGAGAAAAAAATCTAGGGGACTTCCTGAAGACCCTTGTCCTGTCAAGGTAGAAGGTCAGGGCTCTCCTGACATCTCAGGTATGTAGTATAGCCTCCCTTGGTCAGGTGTAGGATAGAAGATTGGAAGGTGAATCAATTGATTCATGTGAAATGGAGAGATTACCTTAGGGATGAATTTTGGATGCGACCAGAGTGTAACCTTGTATGGAAAAAAATATTGTGTAAGGTGGATGCGCCATCAGAGTGGCTCTCTCTCCTATTCTTCTGGCCGAGGTAATCACTACTAGGAAGGCTGTTTTCATTGTCAGGTACGTCAGCGAACAGGTGGCCATAGGTTCAAAAGGAGCCATTTCAGTACTAGGTTTACGTCCCACGTGGAGATAGAAAGTTCAGGTTGAGGAAAGAGGTTTACTATATCCTTGAGGAACCTTTTAGTGGTTGAGTGTGACAGCATTGAGTACCCCTCTACAGGTTAGTGAACTTGGAGCATACCTGAGTTGTTGGATCTGCTGGCACTGTGGGGAGAGGAGGCTGTGTGGTCCCAGTTCCGCTCCAGCCGTAAGAACTTCAATACCTACGGTCACATTTCTCATGGCATGTTGGATAAGGGCTATGAATGGGACACAGTGCAGCACTTTGTGAAGATAAAGGAGCTGAGGCAGGCATACCAGAAGGCAAGGAAGTCAAACAGTCCCTGTGGTGCTGCGCCAAATACCTGCTGCTTCTATGAGGAGCTGGACGTCATCCTTGGCAGCAACCCCACCTCTGCTGCCAAGAGCTCCGTAAAGGAGGTTGAGTTGGAGGATAATGTGGAGCACAAGACAGGGTCATCGAGTGGTGCGGTAAGTCAGGACCTCTTTTCCACTCCGGAGGGGTCTAGCCAGTCCCCGCAGTCCGTGTCTAGCATGCATGATGCAGGAGAGGGAGCTCTGGTAAGTGATCTTTTTGAGTTGATGCCCCTCGATTATATGAGGTAGAGCTGTTCTTTGCTTTGTTACACGCTTCAAGTGGGTGAAGGGATAGAAATGTACAAGACTAGCTTGTGTTTGTGTGTGCTTCACATTCCCCTGTGCAGCTAAGCAGTGTAGTAGAACTGTTGTTAATGCACACCGAGATTTCATGGGAATCTTTCCTGGAGATACTCACCAATCCTTTGCTGAAGGTTCCTTAGCAGAGGTGCTTTGTTCCTTCCCCCCCCGTAGGAAACTCCTATGTCAGTCAACAATCACTTATGCAGGAACCAAAGTGGCACACAGGCAAGCAGCATAGGGACCTGGTCTGAAGCCGCAGACATGCAGGAGATGCTCCCTTTTTTACCC